ACGGTGTCACAAGATGTGGTTAGACACGTCCTGTTTCCATCTCCTTTCCTCGCTCCTCTTTTCTCCCTTTCCATAGGGCTCCGTTTTTGCTAGTGCTGGTTTATGCTTTCATTGATTCCCTTTGCAATTGTGAGTGTGCATTTGTGTGTGCATGTGTGCACATGCGTGCAGTGTGTGCGTATGTGCACGCACGCATTCCTCTCTTCCTTGGAAGGAGGCGGCACACTCTGTACCTCTCTTATTTGCCGCTTGCCTGCCCTGCTCCATCCCAAGACCCCCCAGGTCAGCATAGGTCCCCTGTGCTGACGTGAGTGCAGGGCTCCCTGTGTTGCAGGTGGGCAGAAGCACCGGCTCTGCCACAGGCCCATGGACTTCAGGGGCTGGTGGCCAGCAAGACCGGGTTGGGGTGGGGGGTTCCGTGTGAGCCTCATGTCTGGTCTCATCTGGTTCCCACGTCAGCCCATTTTACACATGAGGACTCTGAGGCTCACGGAGAAAAGAGGTCTGTCCAGGGGCTCTTGTGCATGGAGGGACAGGCAATCCCAGGCTGCATGTCCCTGGGGAGGTGGCCTCTAAGTACCAGCTCCACAGCATGTAGCGACTCCTCAGTGTCCGCCCCATCAGCCCAGGAGCACACAGTGAGGCTCATGGCAGAGACCCTGGAAGCCCTGTCCACAGCATGGGGGTGGCCAGGAGCCCGAGGAGGCCTGGCAGGGAGGGAAAGGGGCCTGGTGGCAAGGGGCTCCTTCAGGTCAGGCCAGGGCCCGGGCACCAAGGAGGACTGTAGCCAGGGAGAGGCCCCTGTGCCCAGGCTGGCCCCTGAGTTTCCCAAGGCCTTGCTCCACTGGGTGGAGAAGCAACTTTTGCAGTGTCTCAATTCATGGGTGTCTCAGTCCCTTGTGGGGTCAGTTCTAGTGCTTAGGTTGTTCCAGCCCTGGGCCGTGGGGGCCAGCCCCCCGCCCCCCACATTGTCAAAAACGAAAGTAACGCACAGCTCCTCGCCTGCACGGATCGGGCCCGCAATCCGGTCCTGCCTCACATCTGACCTGTTCTTTTTTTTTTAAAAAGATGACCGGTAAGGGGATCTTAACCCTTGACTTGGTGTTGTCAGCACCATGCTCACCCAGTGAGCTAACCGGCCATCCCTATGTGGG